TTCTGCTCTTATTTGGCTTAGCAGTATCTGCACAAGGATAAAGCTACAAAATCTGCAATGTATCAATAAAGAAATCAGAAGAATGGAAGTTATGTTCATTCTGTTCATGCAGGCACTCAGCAGTATCAGAACTAATGCTAAGTAACTTTTAGCCATCCTCCAGGTACCAAACCTTATATACTATAAACAGAAAAATAATTCTCACATGCACACATCTACAGGACTGGTAGATCTTTCAAGTTAACTCAGCACACCTTATTTTTTATAGTGTCATAATATACCTGTCACTGTTAGTGACATGGGACTTACTACTAAGGATTGACATTCAAAAATGTTCAAATTTTATGCAAATAAGCCAATGCTCTGTTATTATAAGATGACACATACTTGTAATTAAAACTGATGCTAGACAGCCTAATATCTGGTTTATCTAATTAGACACCTTCCAAATGTAAGTTTTTGCAAGAAGTCAGACATTACCTGAAATTTATTTAATGTTGTGTTTTGTTCATTTGTTGTGCTTGATAATTTGATCTGAAATTTTAAATAGGCAGACACCATGAAGTCAAATACTTTATTCAGTTGTTTCAACCAGAGCAGGTGTTTCTCAACTTTGAGGTCACAGCCAGAATCATTAGAGGGGGACTTAAGACATTTCAAAACAAAAGCCAAAAATCAGTAACACTTAACTCTTTGGTTCCCACAGTTTTCTAGCTGACAGCTAGTAGCAGGAAGGCACAAACATTTCTAACAGCAGCCACTAATTTAAATCGGTTTTCACTTCCTTACTTTAGGAGAACCGAGCCACCAAAATTTAAAATTTTTATTTTGATGCACCAGAAGTCTTTGCTTCAAAGTCCAGATCCCTAGCCCCAGTAGAAAGCTTTGCAGCACAGCTCTCCCTCCAGTGACCACTTGCTCCATCTCACTTGACATCTGTTTTACCCTCTACTCATATATTTTATTGGTAAAAGTTGGTAACTTGGTGCCTAAGGACTGTGAAGCAAACCCAGTATCAGATAAATCAGTTTGGCAGATTGTGTGCCCTCCACTCTTATCTCAGTCTTACTCACTCCCTCAACTAAAGCGCACTGCATACAAGCACTTAAACATGTTCCTTAAAGATACATGAAGACTCATGTCTCATGTTCAATATACTGATTTTGTAATTACTCATGTAAAAAACCCATTTATAAAAAATTTTAAAGGGTCATAAAGATGTACAATTAAATGTCCTTTCTTCCAGCAGAATAATTTTAAAAAGTCTTCAGAAAACAATTTGGATTTATGTATGCAGATACCAGCAAATAAAATGTTCATTTTCAGTTCTTTCCTGAATTTTGGCATTCAGCAAAGCAAGGCATTTAATCTTGTAGAAACACATACTAAGAATTTCTCCTACTGCAATTTTAGCAGTTGCTGTGCTCAGATATAAATAATCAGGAAAACAAGACTGACTTTTTTCTAAAATGAAAAACAGAAATGGGATTGTTTACAAATAAGCCTATTAATCATCCTCCTTTTTGCAGAACCTCCAGTAACTTTGTCACATCACACTGGTGCAAATATTTTGCATTAAACGCTCAATATCTAGACAGTAACTATTTACAATGCAGATTCTTCTTAAAATTAAATTTAAATTAGAGTTTCTGAATTTTTAACAATATGCATGTGCCAAGCAGCTTTTGTCTGAAAGCTGAGCTCTTCCTTCCACACAGCAGACAGAGAGGCAATTCTACAGCCTTATCTACAGAGAATACATCTTTTAAGTGCAAAAGGATGAAAAAAAAAAATTTAATTCTAGGTTTATTAAAAAAGCCATCAGGCTCTCTGAAAGAGCCTCATTTCCTTTAGCAGCCTCAAGCACAGCAGAGAAACCCTTTCTCAGAATCACCCTACTCCAACACGGGCAAGTTTTATCACAGCTTTCAACAGAACGCCAACCCAAGTTTAGGCAAAAGAACAGCTCACAACCCAGAGCCTCCAAGTATAAATAAACTCTTCCACATTCAGCTTAGAGCACCAAAATTAGGCTTATGCACCAGCTCTCCCTCAAAAGGCATCAGTCCCTCAGCACTGACCTCTTCCAGAACTCGTCACCCCTGACCTTGGACAGCCAGCTGAGCTGTCTGAAGTCACGTAGGCTGTGACCTACCCCCCTCAGCCAAGGGCAGTCACAAACAGATGGCCAGAGCAATATTTTACTACAAGATATAGATCTAATACCTAGAAGAAGGAAATAAGCTGTCTTTAGGCACTGTACTCTTGGTCTCTAAACACACACACTAAAAATAGAAAAAACAACCACAAAAGCAGAAGCCTGAAGAAATGGAAAGCAGGCTCATTCCAAAGCCTGCACTGTAAATCCTGAGCTCAAAACAATAGGGCTTGAAGTTTAACGTTTGTTACACAGGAAGAAGACCCTCTTAAATAAAGAGTTAGTAATTGAAAAGGTCACAGAGACACTGATATATACAAGAAGCTGCACCATAAAGCACGTCTGCCTCTGCTCTCTCTTGCCCAGGATGTAAAGTTAGATCAGCAGGACAGCTCAGGAAATGTTATACAAACCTCACAGCACATATAAGCACATTTAGTCAGATTTTGGAGGCCCACAGAAGACACCAAGCTGCTGTTCTGAACAGGATACAAACCCAGTGGAGATGATTTGCCTGCTCTAAATAACTGCTCTCCTGACTCACTCCCTTCTTTCTCTGAAACAGGAGTCAATTTTGCAGGATACTGGCAAACCAAACACAGCCTCTACAAAACACTTAACACCCAACACCTTAAAGAAAATATGAAATAAACTTGAGTGATAAAAAGTCAAATAAAATGGGAGTGAGGCATCTAATGCACTTGTAGCACTGTCTGCTGTGAAAATAAGCTATCCTGCTTCTCCAAAGAAGGCTTTTAACACAGTCCCCAGGCATATGCACTTGAACATTAACCTGAAAATAAAGCACTATTTTAGGCTCAACAGCCCCATTAGGCTGGTGCAAGACAACTTGCTGTCTTTGCAGATTGCACCTCATCTGCTGAATGGCAACAGAAACAGGGCCCAGTGTAAAAAAAGGCTGCTACTCATACAAAGCCTGAAGAACCCACTGCTGTGGCAGCTACACATTGCCTTGTATCTCAACCATCAACTTCCTTTGCTCAGCAAAGACAAGTCACACCTGCCCTTTGCACAGGAAGTCACCAGCTTACACAATGCTCAAGTTCAAAGCTGTACTCTGAGATCAGATCAACACAGGTTTTAAGCTGTCATTGTTGTTAATACAGTTACTTGTGTGCAGAGTTTAATACGTGATGCAGTAATTGAAGGGCTCTGTGCCTCTGACCTCATCTGAAGTTCAAGATTTAATTTGAGGGTTTCACTTTCTGGTTTGTAAATTAAATGCCACAGTTTACAAAGTAACAGAAAAACATATCAGGAATTTGTTCCTAACTTCAAAAGCGGAGACTGAAAATAACAGATTAGAAAAGCATTTGGTCTACTCAACTAAGCAACACCCTCACAGAAAATCTGCTGCAGCATGACCTAAGTGAAGAGTAAGGTGGTTCAAGTACTGGCTTAACTGCTGTGCTCAAAAGGTTGTGAGCAGCAGCACAAATTCCAGCTGGAAACAGCCACTGCTGGAGTAATCCAGACCTTAATATCTTGTGTTGTTATTGTTCAGCCTCTCCATTGATGCATCATGGGACAGAGCACACCCTCAGCAAGCTGCAGCTGATCCATAACTGGGAGGAGGAGTTGATGCACCACAGAGCTGCACTGCCAGTGAGAGGGACCTCGAGAGGCTGTAGAAATGTAGAAACTTGGGGACTCATGAAGTTAACAGAGGGGTGGCTAAAAACCTGCACCAGTTCTTAAATGCTGGACATACATACACAGTGTAGAGTAGTCTGACACTGTAGGTTATATCTGCTGTTTTGTGCATCTGCTTCCCATTGTAACTCAAACTGAACAACCCGTGAAGCACAGGTTGATGACTTTCTTCACTCCCTTTCATCAGGAGTTCCCACACACTGATAGGATCCCCCTTGAGCCTCCTCTTCTCCAGGCCTATCAGCCCCAGCTGTCTCTGCCTTTTTTCAAAGGCCACACAACAGACACAGCTTGTGCTGGAATGGACCTTTCAAGACCATCCAGTCTAACCTGCTGCAACAAGCAGGAACATCTTCACAGTTAGATCTGGTTGCTCAGAGCCCAATTCTTGACCTGACCTTGAACACTGCCTGGAATATCTGTCACCTCTCTGGGCAACCTGTCCCAGTCTCTTATCGTCATCATCATTATAAAAACAATTTCTGTATATATAATCTGAATGTAGTTGTCCAGTGAGACTGTTACCTCCACCCTTGGAGATAAAGAGTCTGATAATCCTGGGCAAGCTGCTCTAGTTGATCATACCTGGAGCAGCTGGACTAGATCCCTTCCAACCTCAACTACTGCACAGTTCTAAGATTCAATGGATGCACAAGCCACATGAGAATGTAACTTTAACTACCTTTCACTACAGAAAACAAAGTTGAAGAAATTAGCCAAAATTAAGACTGCATGTGGCATACAACTGCCTAGTATTTGACAAAGCTTCTGAATTATAACTCCTTAAGAACTCAGTCTTGTACAATTAATGTTAGACATAAAATGTAACATGCATTCATCTTTCCTCTCCACAAGATATAAAATGATAACCTACATCTTGTCAGCAGTCATTCAAGAATCACTAATATTGTTCCTTGAAGTACTGGTCTTACCTACTACTACTATTGCATATACAACACTGTGATGATAGTTTTATCTTTAATTTCCAGTACCTAGCACAGCTGACAAAAAAATTAACATCTATAACAGGTTTTAATTTGCAACTTTTGTACCAACTAACCAGGAAAAATGGCATAAGCTAAATAAAAAACATAGTATTAAAGCACAGCATCCAATCACAAATACCTCTAGCACCAGAATGAAAAATCACTACATGGTTTGAACCTACCTTTCTGAAGTAATTTGATCTCTCCATTTTCTTTCTTGATTTCATTCATTAGTTTGTGCTTCTTCTTTTCTTTTTGCTTCTTCTCCCTTTCTTTAACTTTGTCTTTGATTTGACCTGAAATGCAAATATTTCACAATTAAGCAAGAACAGAAAAGTAACTGTAACATACACATTTCCTTTTACTCTTATGCAAGCTTTATTAAGAGGATATAGAGAAGGAGTTACAAGGAAATCCCAGTACTTACAATATGAAAAGCTAATATTTATCTGTTGCATAATCCAACATAAGCTTCTTTAACTCAGAAAAGTGTTGTTTGTTTTGTTGTGGCTGCATGCAACAACCCAGCAAGTTAACTGCATAGAAATTTTTGCTTACTCCTATACCTTCTGCTCTTATTTTGCATCTGCAGCCAGCTCATTCGTTGAAATTGGAATTGCATGCATTACATAAGAATTGAGGAAAACAATAATACAATTAGCATTTTCTTGGGTGCACATCTAGACTGACAACCTTCCCATCTATCTATACATACTCTGAACTTAAAGGCTTTTGCAAATACCTAGGAAAGATGGTTTAATCTGTCAAATGAAAAGTCTTGTACATTTACATTCACAGGCTAATGCATCAATAGCAGTCAGATACAATTAATAAAAACATGAGACGTGCTCTATTCACACAGATTTAATTCACTGGTGCTTCCCCTGCTTACCTACAATCAGAACAGCTTACCTGAGCAGTCTCATTTTTCATTTCCTTTCTTGTCAAGTCACTCCAGGTTTTTAAATCCCTGACATAGAAAAGCAGAGCCTGTAGGCATGCTTTCTGCATATAAAATACTAGACCTAGAGGAATTCATAGTTTCAAGCAGTCATCTTTGCAAGCCAAGTTGAGATTCACTTCTGAGGCCAAGCATTAAAGAAGTCAGATTTTACCAGGCTCATATGCAGTGCAGCCAGCACTTCATGCCTTACTTCCTGGCCTGAAGCCAGCACCTGCTCAAAGAGTTCACTGGGCTTTTTAACCTCCACAGGGAAAGAGGAAATCTGATTTCAAGCTCCTACATAATGTTATGCTTCAGTAATACAGCTGAGAGACAGCCCTGATGTTTTATTCATGGTACTTGCATTATAAACCCCAAGTGAAAGCAAAGAAATCCAATTACTCTTCCATAAGCATTCACATAAAATAGAAGTAGTAAGTATGTTCACTACTAACAAATGAGAAATATTTCAGAAGCCAGCCAAAGAAAGCCCTCAGTTCTAGAAGGCAATGCAGAGTGACCCCTAACCAAACTACTCAGAAAGCACATTGATAAAGGTGCAAAGAGCTGACAGTAATCCACATAAATGACTGCTCCAACAGTGATTCCACAGCATTCAATCTTTCCTCTGAGGAGTATTCTAACAAGGATACAGAACTTAAATCCTCACAATTGTTAGAGTGAAGCAAAGGATGTATTTTGGGGAGAGTCATAAGAAAATAAGTCAAATAAAAACCAAAATAGATGGCAATTGAGATATGCCTCTTGCCTCTCCACAGATCATAAGCAGCAGCGAGAGAACAGAAGCTATATTGGCTTCTATACTGGCACAAACATAATAAGGTAGCTGCACTTGGAGGATGTTTTAGTTCTAAGTAAGTGAAACAGCCATGTCCAAGAACAGCCTCCTCCTAGCACCTCTGTGGGAAGGGATGGATGACAAAGCAGATTTATGTGTATAGCAGACCATGGAAACCAAATAAGCTTTCCAACACAAATCTTTCTAGGAATAGGTTAAACTGACATAAATCTTCCTCTCCAACCTGTTTCTCCTCAAAAAGGAATCTCTAATTTGTAAATCCCCTGCAACTTGAGTATGAAATTGGGTAAATTGTACAACAGGAGTTAATGTAACACTCCAAAAGCAGACACTCAGCTAGCAGGCAGCAACACCAGGCTTGATTTATAACCTTGGCTGAACAATCAACTGAGCCAGAACTACAATTATCAAGGGAAGACCTAGATTTTATCTCAACATTTTTGTATGGTTAAGAGGCACACTTGACTTCTGCTATCACTTACAAATCAAAGCAACATTGAAGAGCATATACAGATGTTGAGTCTTGCTGAAAGAGGACAAAAGACTGAAAGAATCTTTTACTGCCAACTCATGAAAATGAGGCCAATGAATCTTCCAGTTTTGTCAGAAGCAACACATAAAGACAGAGAACCTTTTAAAGAGCCTCTAGTTTATTTTCACATCTACAAAGCAATTAGAGTCAATGGTGAAACTTTCCCAACAAAAGAAACAATGAATGTGTTCTGTAACATCCCTCAGCAACAGCCACAAGTAAATCCTACTACAAGTGATTGCAAATACAATGTAAATGCAGCTGAGGGATATTTGGAGTAAACTTTCCCTTCTAGAAATCACAGTATTATAACCAAACCAGTGTAGAGCCTGATGCAAGTAAAAAACAGTTGAGAAGCTCAATTTGAATATAGAGATTTTCTGATTTCCTCCTTCAAAGCTCACAGAATAGCTTAACAATAAGCCAGTAGTTCCCCTCAAAAAAACCCCATAAATATTGAAATTTTTAAAAAATCTTCATACATTAAACAAAAAACCTGTCAAGATGAGTTATTCCATGGATTAACACTTGAACTTAATTCTCAGTTGAAATACCTTAAGTTTCTGAGTATTAGTATGTGTTTTCTTGTCAGGCTTGCAAAATTCAAACACAACTTTCAGACAAAAGGCTGCTGATTGTTCTCCTCAGGGAATCCAGAAACATGAACATTCTTCATAGAATTCCTGCTTTAAAATGAATACCCCCAATATTAAGCAATTTACAACCTAGATATCACAGAATAAACAAGCAGTGAGTGACACTGGCAAGGGAAAACAAGAAAATCTTGCTCTGTTGAAGTTATGAAAACCCAGACTGCTCTTCTACAGTTTTTTTGAAATTTACCAGTACAAGCTACTACTGGTCTCCATTTTACTTGTAGGGCAACAGGATCACAAGCAGTAAAAGGTAGGAAGATGTTTACAATAAGCTTTCCATGTCCACAGAATATTCTGCAGTTAGCTTCCACCAAGACTACTCCTAACAAATAAAAAGAAAAATAAAAAAATCTTTTTGAGCTGCTGTGGATGAAATGAGCCTCCACAGAAATAACACAGCCCAAACACACAGGCGGGGAGGCCTTTACACACCTCCAAAGGCACCAAAACTAAAAGCCAATTGTCTGAAGTAATTTGTGGCCCAGGGCAAAAAAGAAAGAAATCTATCTTTTCACTACACTTGTCCCACCTATTTCTCCAGTGTGAGTCCTGCCTGTGGGCTCAGCTCCTCACAGACTGCTGCAGTGTGGGTCCTTTTGCATGTGGCACAGTCCCTCAGGCACAGCCTGCTCCAGCATGGTGCCCCATGGGGCCACAGGTCCTACCAACAAACCTGGCAACCTGCTCCAGAAACAGGCCACAGGTCCTGCCAGCAGGCCTGATCCAGCATGGGCTCCTTTTCTCACAGGTCCTGCCAGGAGCCTGCTCCAGCAAAGGCTTCCATGGGGTCACAGCCTCCCTTGGACACCCTCCTGCTCCTGGCTGGAGTCCCCAAGGGTCTCAGGTGGCTCTCTGCTCCCCCATGGGCCTCCCTGGGCTGCAGGGGCACAGCTGCCCCACCAGGAGCTGCCCCAGGGGCTGCAGGGGAATCTGCTCTGGCACCTGGAGCACCTCCTGCCCCTCCTTCTGCACTGAGCTCTCTCCAGCTGCAATTGGTCCTGTGCAGTAATTTTTCCCCCCTTTTAAAATACATAATCCCAGAGATGCTACCACCATCACTGGCAGCTTCTCACAAAAGCCACCCCTGTATCTCCCCTGCTACCTTGCCAGGCAAACCCAACCCAACTCTACTAAATAAACAACTGTATACTTTTTAAAATACAGGGCTTTGTAGGAATAAGTATCCCTGTTTAGAAAACAATACAACACCTAAGGAATTAAGAGATTTCTACATGTCTCATTCAAATTTACAGTAAGGAGTGTCACCATGAAGTCCACATTCTTTGCTTTGCATGTCACGAGAACTGTACACCCACACCCAAAAGAAATGCTGCAACAGCAGTACATGAAAATAAAAGAAGTGCAACATACAGACAGGAAAAAATTTTATTATGGTGTGTGCCATCTCACCTTTCTAAAGGGCATCTGAAAAATATCTTCACTTTACAGCAATTCTACACAATGAACTGAACTAATTAAGAATTAGATGCATACTTCCTCCTCAAATTCCAAAGCTACTTTTTCGGGATGTTAGGTTAAGTACATAAATAAAATAAATGGATATACACTGTACTTATACATTAAATAGCCATTTACAACTAAAGGGTGTAGTAAAAGTTCCTTGTTTCCCAACTCAAGAGATACTCATAGTAGTCATTCTCATAATGAGAATGACTGCCACAGTTTCCTAAGCAGGAAATACAGGAACACAAATTCACAGATCACACCTGATTTCTGAAGTCTAATCAGATCCATGCCTCTACTGCAAGCTTTCTAGAGACAGAAAGGTAAAAAGAGCATAGACAGTGAGTACTAATGGGAAGTGCTTTTGAGTGGGTCTCATGTGCAAAGTGGAGGCTGTCACTTGGGAAATCTGCACCCTGAAGTCCACGCAGGAGCTCCAACAAGCAAGTCCATTTCAGCACTAGGAGAGCTGTACAGCCCTGTCAGATGCCAAAAGCTGCAGCTGCTCTGCATCATTTTCCAGATGGTAACTCACATTAGTAGTCAGTCATAGATTATGTTCAAAGTATTCTGCCTGCCTCTCCTCTGTTTGATTTAAGGGCTGTCACTGCACACGAGGCAAAATATTTACAGACTACTGCTAAGGGACACCATCAATGTGGATAACACCAGCAGCAGTGTAACTGAAAGGGAGGGGAAATAAGGAGGGGCATACAAGAAAATCAGCTACCTTCCATCAGCACTCTCCTCACTTTGAACAAACACCCATAAAAATAAAACCTCAAGAAGCCATGTTTAACTGGTTATGCAGGTACATGAATTACATTTAACACCACCATGTTAACAGCTTTGACACCTGCACTTGTTAAATCCTACAATGT